GGGTTTTGCCCGGACGCCGGGTTTCCCCTCCATATGTTACCATGTTGGTATTTTCTGATGTATCCTGGGGCGTTCTTGCCCAATTGATGGTTAGTCACTTGCGTGAAGAACCAGGGAGGGTGTTCGTGAGTCTGCGAACATTGCTGTTGGATACATGTGCTGGATGATTTTGTGTCACGCAGACTGGTAAGATAACCGTTTGATAGGGGGCACCGCGATGATTCACGGGGCCCCTCCTTGCTGTGGGAGCCGCTCTTTGAGCACTCCCTCTTTCGTCCGTGTGAAGGATGGTCGTCTACCTCCCGTGAAGTTAATACATCACCAAAACAGTCTCACCCGATAAATAAGTGGCGTAGGCCGCAAACAAGCTTAGGGCTGCACCACTCTCCTCGAATACCGGACAAATAAGCCAATCACACGAAAGATCTAGAATGCTTCCAGAATGAGTCTGGAAGCCCTCCTACGTTCAAGGAGACTATCAAGTGCAACCTAGGTCTAGAACGCTTCCAGAAGGTTCCAGAAGGTTCCAGAAGGTTTCCAAAAGCTACACACGTTCTACGTAGATGTCCCGGTCAACCTTGACCTAGCATGCTTCCGGAATATTTCTAGAACAAGAGAATACATGCCACGGAGAGACAGATTATTTTCTACCGCTACGCAGACTAGCTGCTGCAATCGTATTCAAAGGTCAATCCGTGTCCGACTACTGGTGGTCTCGACGCACGATTTTTCCTGACACTCGCATGGCGTGCGTTTCCACTGGCGCTGCTGGCGCTGTGAAGCTGTGGAGATCCCCGACAGATGGCAGATAACCCTCACACAACAGGGTCATCTTTCGCAATCTTCGCATGCATTCCCCAAGAGGAGCAGCCGCTATATTATAGTCAGCCAGTCGCTCGGGTGGCCCAGTGGTCCATCCAGTCAAACGAACCAACCCTACCACAAGAAGACGAAGGCTACGAGTAGATTCGCGAGACTACGTTCCCTGTTGTGCAAAGCTAGAGGAGGCGGGAAGGGCAAGTTTGCAAGGCAGGTGGTTCAATGTGAAGGCTGGTCAATAACCTGTTCCAGTTGAATTGGACTGATCCGAGCTTTGATCGATACTACAGTGCTATGTATATGGTAACGACTGCTCTGTAGTATAGGCGCTACGCGAACTAGGCTGTTTGTTTACGTGTGTTCCTGTAGTAGCACGACTGGGTGAGTATGGGCCGGCATCAATGACGAGGAGGTGGGTAACGAGAGTGAGGCACGTTTGCCATGCATCCACTACCTGCAAAACCTCACAGTAAATTTTCGACGACTCATTATTGTAACTTTTCGAATTTCTTCCCCCTCCGGGGGTGGGGGGTGGGGGTGGCCCATGTGTCCGGAATTTTCCGCGTTTAACCTTGGTGCGAGCGCTAATTGTAGCAGACCGCTGCGCGATAGGTGCTGCACGGAGTATAGACTAGGTCTGTTGAAAGTAGCAAAAGGCTAGGTTCCTCACGCCAGCAAGGCAAGATTGCTTACCTCCCAGTATAATAACCCTATTAACCGAAATAGAAGGACGAACGGACACGCACGGCGGCGAACAGCGAGATATCTCTAAGTGGTCGATCGATCAGATAGGTCCCTTCTCATGGCCACACACTTACTTACTTGATCCCCCGTGAACATATACCGCGAGAGGGACTTGCACGAAACTGCTCACCTGCTGAGCACATTGAACTATTCGTCTCAACGCGGTTGAACTGCTGTACAGAGGAGACTACAGCACTGTAGTACCTGGCACATGACTGTCGACGTGTAAGGGGAACCACGTCGTAGGCCAGAAAAGCCCCCGTTACAGATGGCGCCCGCACTTAAGAACGTCAAATGGCGTGAGGCTTGACGCTTATTGGCTGCTCCAACCCCGGCACATGTTCGTATGGCCATGTTCTTTTTCCGATCAGACATTTGGTCGCTGAAAACGGGGTTCTTGTTCTTATTTCACCGTCGAGTGCTTTAGAGGCGCACCAGGACGCCCTTTGGTGACTCGCAGCTATGAACATAGATCGATAGGACGTTGATATTGGCGTGTAATTTCATGCGGAAAAATATGTTGCATCATCTCCATACAGCACGTCCATACTTCGCCGTACCATGCCCATACTGTCCATTCACCAGGCACCAAGATTATTTGCCGTCGACTTGGCCGCATGCTTGTACAACAGACTTAGACCGGATCACGCACCGCAGCAGCTATGCTCGCGGTTGAGTACAAATATGAAAACAAAGTCCGAAGGCTTCAACCTTCTTGGTCGATAAGGGTCACGTTCGGCCTGCGTTATTCCCTTCCCGCTCTACTAACGCCCAACGAGGCTGCATTTCCGCCCCCATCCACCTGCTCGACCGTGCTCCTCTCAAGCAAGATCCACGAGCCCACCACCGCATCCGGATCTTCTCTGTACATTTCCAACGGCAGCTTCATGCTGCGCGTACTTTGGTCTAGGTCGAGATGCATGTGGTAGTCGTAAAGGTGGCGAGTGCGCTCCTGAGACTGTCGAGTGATCACCCCCCCAAACCACCCCATGCCCAGCCCAACGAGTACTCCACGCTGCAGTAACGAAATGTCAAGAGCTGCTGGTGTACATGCTTGAATGCGAAACCTATCCGGAATCTCCATGGCGTGAATCTCCTCGTCCGATTCCATGCTGTCATCGTCCTCCACNCAACGAGTACTCCACGCTGCAGTAACGAAATGTCAAGAGCTGCTGGTGTACATGCTTGAATGCGAAACCTATCCGGAATCTCCATGGCGTGAATCTCCTCGTCCGATTCCATGCTGTCATCGTCCTCCACACGACTCAGCTCGTGCATCTGGCCACTGGCCGTCTCCGCATCGACGGGCACAAACGACAATGTCGCAGAAACTGATTTGAGTAAACCAGGGTATTAACGAACACCCCCCCTTTTACGAACACTTTTTTCAAATGCACGTCCCTCGGCGCACAATGCGCGGAGCCCCCCA